GCTCGTCTCCGCCCCACAACGCCGCACACTTCAGCCCCCTGCAGCAGTCTCCGCCCACCACCCCCCAGTCTCCCCTGCAGTCCCTGCTCCCTCCCCTCCACCAGCACCCCCACTCTCACCACTCCCCTGCCGAACAAGAGACGCTGTGAAAGACGCTGACGCCACATGTGCCCATGATGATGCTGGACCTTATCACCTATACACTAAAATTAAAAAATTAAAAAAAGAGAAGTGCACTTGCACACTACATCTTCCATCCTGGACAACTGAGGGCATGAAGAGAGGAGATGAGGAAGTGTACGAGAAACTTCCCTAACCTGCCATTTGTGTCCATATTCGTGTGCATCAGGGCGTGAGGCGGCCATTATCAGTGACTCCTCCTCTGAGCCCCCGTTCACCTGGAGTTTAACATCCGGTCAGAGGTGTCCGTCACAGCCTCTCATCTGTCTACAGCCTCCACTTATCCTATACTACCAAGAAATAGAAACCTTAAAGTCAAGCTGGAATAATTGATTTGTGGCCATCATGTTTTTATCCGTGTAAAACTGTTTTTTTGTTCATCCTGAAAGTACTGCCACTGGATTTTTAGACTGCTCCTCTGTAGGTCCTTTGGGCAGCAGTCTGAGGTCTACCTTCGGGTTTTCTCATCGGCTCTACTTGAGCGGTCAGCATGGGGAGGGAAAGGAAGTGAGGGGGGGATACACATCTAGGGATGCACTTTAATGATCACTGTTGTTTTTCCCCTCAAAAGGGTTTTTTGTTTTGTTGACATACTGTTTTCTTGTGTGTTTTTAATTTCACAGCTCAAACAGCCATACCCATTGCCTCTACAGAGCTCTGGTAGATCAAACTTTGTTTACATCAAACTAGTTTTTTGTATCCACAAACGTACCTGAAGCACTTTTTTGATAGTGTAGTATTAAATCTGAAGAAATGCCACGTTTTATTAATTGTCCATATTGTTTGTTTTTAGTGGCTGAATGTGGCATCGGTGCAGGCTTGTAAAACAGTCCTTTTTGTAAAAACGTACGTTCTCTTTAAGTGGATCCAGAAGTCCCATTTGAGGTTGATGAGAAATCTGAATTTACTCATAATCACCCAGCCATGTGAAAGAATCGTTTTCTTTCAGAGTTTGTCCTCTTTCTAGCTGTCGGTTGATCAGAGTGGACATTTAGGGAAGTTTGGTTTAATTACATCAATATAATATCAGAAGAATCTACCTGCTTTCAGTCAAGTGAAGGAGAACATTTTGCCATTTTTGAATGTGTAACCTAATTGTACCATAACACAACACAATTGCCATCTGGTGTCTATTGAAACCAAACGCTTGAAACATGATAGGATGCTGGACGTGTTGCTGTGGCTGTCTATCTAAAGCTCTTTGTACTCATCTAATATTAAGGACCTTCGACTCGGAAGGTTTAGTATTTTCAACGCACTGTTGCCGCTAGTCCTGCTACACAATACAACGACCAGTAGAAGTAAAAAAAAAAATGGTGGATGGGGAAACATTCAGGAGGAGAGAGTTCTGTCTTATTAAAAATGGACCACCAGACATTGAGGTTCTGTATGATCGTGGCGGTTCTTGGTTGCAACAATGTCAGAGTAGTTTGGCTTTGTAGTATTTGGGATCACCACCTACTGGTACTGTTGGGAATGCTGTTAGGAAGTCAGTCATTTCACGTGTTTTTGGGCTCTTCTCAAACCGCTCAGAGCTGTAACATTAAGACCGGCACTTTCCCCACTATAACACGACTCCCGGGAGTATATAATCTTACCACTTCTGACACAACCTTTGGCAAAATGTGCTGTTCAATGAGCAAAAAGTGAGTGCATACTACTCTATAATGGTTGTTTATTTGTATGTTGGGGAACACCACCCGTTAGTCAATGGTAGAAAACATTTCTAGTGTGTATTTCAATGATTGAAAGTCCACTTTTACAATTTTTGTGAATGGTTCAAGGCCACTTAAGTTTAGTGCATGATTTAAAAAAAAAAAAAAGAAAAAACACAAAGGGAGAAGGATGAAAGCCTCTCCCGGTTTTAAAACATGAAAATTAGTGCGAGAACAAAAACAAAATGCGGAAGTGAAATAGCTGAAACGTGAAAAGTTTATGTACTGTGCACCAAGAGCAAACCATGGAATTTGTCTGACTGAGACCAGTGTTTGAAGATGAAGGCCTTATGTGAACTGTATAATAGTTAATAAATTAAATCTTGTAAAATTGTCCTAAGCTTCCTTGTGTCTTTCATTGAGCCTTTTGAACAAACCCACAGATATCTCAATCCATTCATTCTGCATTTTCATTCCGTACTTCATTTGTAAAAATACATTGTCTGATTCTAATTTACAAAGCCACATGCTAGCAGTTAGATCAATATTGTCACATCAAAGGAGCCTGGGGAAATCAAGAATAAAAAGCATATAATTTGGCTGTGCAAAAATGTCAGTATTTTATAAAATAGGAGGGGTGGGCTCATGACAGATTCTCAAAAGCCCCTGCTGCACCATGCTGTCATCTGACAAAATATCACACAGGCTATTATTATCCACAGTTCTCACTAGTAGTTAAAATACTGATTGACAACTTGTTAAACAATGTATAAATGCTACTTAAAGATAGGGTCCAAGCTAAATTAATATAATTGTTTAAAGCTCTAAATGAAGCATATTAAAGAAGCTTGATTCTACACAACACATCGTACCTGCGGAAAGACCTCTGCCACCGTGCAGGTGACTCTGAAAAACATCAATTATTTACAGCATATCCTTCATGAGTGACTGCACAGTTTTAGTAGAACACACACACGAACACACACACACAAACACACGCACACAAACACACACAGTATCTGTTGACCCATGCAGAGCGACTGGACAGTGGAATGCTATGGCGTCCTCTTGTGGTTGAATAGAGTTACAGTAGGGAGAAGAGGTGGGCGTCTGCATGTCACGTGATACCCTGGTTATCATGTTACATTTGATTAAAAAGTAGTATCAGTCACTAATTGACATGAAATACCTATGTTGACACGATTTGCTATTATACAGTCTATTTCCTGCACAATTCCACAGATAAAATCGCACATCTGACTGAAAAGTTCAATATGTCTACTGTACATGTATGTTTTTTGTATATAGGTTAATTTGAGGAACTCTGCAGCCTGAGATTATAAATGCTGTGCTTTCTGGGAAAGATGTGATTGAGCACATTCTGAGGAATTGATTTTTGGATGTTTCCTAAAGATATATGCCTACAATTCACTGAATGAGGCCTATCACACGGTTTGAGTGTAATTATCCTTTTCATTGCTATTGGCACATTAAGCGCTTACAAGAGTAAATCAATTCCTGACCTGAATGTGCTCTCTGTGAACTGCAGCACTGAGGCCTGTCACTACCTCGCTCCACTGCTGAGTGATAGGCTGTTCACAATTGTTATTAATATGAATATTGTTCAATCTATAACCTGATTATTCTACAGGCTATGTGGTTCTTTCATGTGTTCCCCATGTGTCCCATAGTTATTCAGTTCACTTTAAAACAAAGAAAAAGTAATAATTTCAGTTATTTGAAACACAAGAGATGTATTTGGGCAACTCATCCCCCCTTTATAATCCCACATTTCCAGTTTTGTTGCTCATTTATGGTGCTACTGTACCCCATGCTGTTTTTGTAATCCCAAATAGCTACCCCATTAAGTCCTTGTAACTAAATATGTGTATAAGTACTGGTACACCAAGTGACACTATACATTGGGAATATGCTGTTTCACTTTAGCTATTTGTACTTGTACACATCAGGACCTTACACACGGTAAATACACAATCTGTGTCTACAGTGTATGTACTTATCTGCAGATTGTTTAAAGGTGCATTTTCCAACTTATCTGTCATTAGGAGAACAAATGCAACAGTATAAGGACTTCTGTGTATGTGAAGAAGCCTTTTTCAGAGTCTGAACAAAACAACATAATCATCAGGGAAAGTGTAGTTTTTGCCGGATACTTAAAATACACAACAGAAAGCCTTTGTTACAAAGTGTTGGTGTGGAGTTTTTAACGACATGGCAGTTATTGAGGCATTAATGTTGTAATGCTAAATTGCTGGTGCACCCTAAAGTCAATATAAATGACACATTTACACTATCCATTGTTACATTTGCTTTCATTGGATTCACACTTTCATCATGCTTTGGCCAATTTCATACTGGATATCTATTTATATGTTCATATGATGTAAATATTAAGCTGAGCATCAACATCAGATAATGTTCTCCATGTACAGTATAGCACTTCCCCCATCTCATGTCATGGGCCTTTGCTAATTAAAAACAAATGCCAATAAAAACATTTCAGATTCAAACAAACCTGTTGAGAATGACAGAAGCCGTGACGTATGAAAGATAGCTTTATTGCACAAGGTGTTAGAATGATCTTTTTAGTTTTTGCTTTCTTTTCATAGAAAATGTACTTTTGAACACAAGCAATTGCTATAACAAGCAACTCAAACAAATGTTTGGGATACCCTCAACATTATTTTTTTGTTTGTTTTGTTTTTCATACGTTTTTTCCTTCAGTTTTTCCCTTTTAGCAAGCATGCAATGATTTTTTGAGGATGAACAAAATACAAAATAATGAGAATAAAAAAAGTAAATAGGACAAATGACGACATCAAACAACCTTTAAAAAAAGAATAAAAATCGAAACAAATTAGTATCAAAAACATAAAGGGAAAGAAAAATGTTGTTTTTGTGCCCATTTCAGAAGTAAAATATTTTTATTTTTGATACTATTTCAATTTTGAAAGTGGGGCATTCGACCCTGATGTGTCCCCTGATTTATTCTGACGAAAATAGCTCTTCATACAAAACTGTGTTTTATGTACAAGACTTAATCTATAAACAACACTGACAGGTGGAGATGATGGATCTAGTATGTTTAGGGTTGTGAACTTTAACCTTTAATTTATCTGAGCGGGGGG